TCAATTATGTATTTATTCATACTAGAATGTTGATACGTGTTATTACCTGTTAGTTTTGTACTTAAAGGTGAGCTTGAATGATTAAAGAAGAGCCTTCCTTTGCTGTCGGCGATGTAACGTATATAAAAGCTGATGAAAACAGCAATATTCGCGATCGCAAAATCGCCGTCAGCGCTATGGCCAAAAAATGCGGGACCATGGAGAACTACTAACTTGCGGAGCTGCTCAGAACCCTAACCTCAAATACTGCTATAATGTCAAATTGTTTCAAGTACAAGCCGTGAATTAAATTTTGATCTTATAACCTACCGATTGTTTATGAAAATGGCACAGAACAATTATCTCAAAAATTCGAAAAGAGGATGCTGTGTTCCACAGTACACAGTAAAGGATAAACTGAATTTAAGTTTCCATAGTTTTCCATCCGATTTAATTTTACGGAACAAATGGATGGAAGCATTGAAACTGACAGGAATTTACGATGAAAACATGAAAGTTTGCAGTCAACATTTCTCTCTTGACGATTATATAAAGCGGCGTAAGTATTTCATGTAGAGATGAATATTCTATAATGAAATTAGCCGAGTCGATTGAGTCAATTTTTTGTTGAATATCTCGTAACCGAAAGCAAGTTGAAAAATTTTGGTAATGAATTTTTTTAGCTCTTGTTTTCTACCTCTTCATAACAATTCCTCTAAATTTCTTAGATTTGTAAAAGAACCCATTTTGAAATCAAGTTAATATATCTCGACGGATAATGGTAAATAAACTTGTCTTAATTGGAAGTCAATCATCATTATTACGTTCTAATTTCGAGGATAGGCTGGCTTATAATACCATGACATGAATAATCATTTGATTTACCATTAATAATAGAGTTATCTGGGAGAAGAGAATGATTTAATATTTACATTGGCAAGTCCATTCAAACAGATGATAAATGCTGTCTTTTCGATTATAGATGATGGATGCATCCCGAAGAATCGGAGATTGAAAAAAAATGTAATCCCATCATTTAATTTCCCGTCTTCAGCATCAAGTTCAAACAGTCTTTGTGATCAAGGAGATCTGGTTTTTGTGTCTACATCAATGAATAATTTGTTATTTCATACTCCAGAGCCTTGGCGCACTACCATCAGATTGGTTCCGCAAGATAGTAATTCTACAAACCACCACCAGACGGCGAGACATCTCTTTCGCGGTCGCGAGAATACAACTAGTGTAGTGACGTAACTACGCCACTTTGCGGCGGTAAATTTGAATGGTTTCCAACAGATAGGATGTACTGCTTGGACTTATCATAAATAGAACTGCAAATAACACATTATGCAAGCGATCGAAAGATGAAATTCAATGATAATCTGAAGAAAATACACAAAAATTGTTGAGAATTTTAAAGAGATATTTGTTTATTAATTCATGAGAATCATTATTTTATTAAATAAATCTACGATCGTGCTGCTAGTTTCTCAGGATGTCGTACCATGCTCAATATTTTTTTCCATATGCATTTCTTGTGGTTTATTAGGAATGAATCACTTTTTGTGATGAAAAAAAGGCCCACAGTACGATATTTCGATACAAGTGCGACGGGTTTTTCACGAGTGTGAAATTCGAGGAAAAGCCGAGAGCTGTCGATCATACGAGCCGAAAATTCCTGTCGCACATGCGCCCGAACTATATTTTTTTTGTCAGTCATGTTACGTTCAACGAGTGTCGAACAGAACGTTTTTCATGTATCAATAAATAAAACGTTACATTTGGCCATGTGATAAATGTAGCACCAGTCATAAAAATATAATTTTTTGAAAGACCATTGGGTTGCACAAATTATCCCGCTTGAGTATTCTTAATGATGTTTATTCATTTTCCGAAAATTTAATTTTTTCATGTTCAAGGAAAACTGTGTAAGTTTTTAGACTGATATGAAATCAATTTGACGAAATGAAATAAACAAATTTTCTTCTATACGTGGACTCTTATGCGTTTTATTTTTGAATTAATGATTCACCTACTGGGAGACTCCAAAAAAGGCAATGAAAATAAAAATATAGGGCAATGTGAAAAAATATATTGGATCCATCAATGGGCAAACAACAATCTGGAGTACTCATGTAAATAATGCAGATATTCGAAATTTAAAGCTCCATATAACTATAGACTTGCACCAATATTTGGCGCATACTGAGGGTTTAATTCCCGGATAATCAAAAGTATAAAGATGCACACTGCAAGGAAAAAGATTTTCTAGGATTAAAAAAACATGTGGCCAAACTCTCTTCAAACATGTAACGAGACTAGATAGTTTTCTAAATAACAAATTTAAGTTGTCGCAATTAACGATCAGAATTGTGAAAATCCCTGCTCTGCTTATCCTGTTAGAATTTTTTTTTTATTTCATGGAAAATATTCTCATAAGACTGACATTGAATCGGATTTAGGGGAAAAATGATTATGAAATTTCAAGTTTTAGGTAGAATTCAAAGAAATTCATGAGTTTTTAGTGGGAGTGAGATCTAAATTTCACAACTTCATTGAATTTTCAATGGAACATGAATATTCAGAAACAAAATGACATAAATTTTCAATTTTTCACTGCATTTTCCTGATTTTTTTGAATTTTCCTAGAAAAATTTAACTGAAAAATCAAGTACTTTATTAATTTTGAGACCATTTGAACTGAAAATGAATGGAATATTTCATTTTTCAATAACAATATTTTCTGATATTCCAATGGAAATTTAACACGTTAAAAATTTCCTGGATTTGGCACGGAAAATTGGTGTTAACAATAAAATTTATACAATTGTGATCATTGGTTGTAAAACAAACGAATGATTTTTTTTTGCAAATTATCGATTTTCATCACGCTGTGCGAAAAAGTAACTTTTTAAGCACGCTTCACGTTTTCCACACATTGTGATGAAAAATATCGTTCGATACTCATGGGAAGTGTTTTTTGGCTCATGGGATTATATCACTCGAAATATACTATTTCGTTTCAAGAATCTCTCGAGTTCCTTCAATATTTTGTGACAAGAAAGAACTTGATCCTATAAATCTGTTCTTTCCTCTCAATGTATAGGGTATTGAAAAAAAAATCATTATTAAGTGCCGCAAAATTTAAGTGTGAGTAATGGACTAATAAAAAGTTTCAATGAAAGATAGTAGATTTCGTCATAAGGCCGAAAAAAACTTTTCTGGCTTATATCAGTTTGCAACCCGAGCTAAAGGCGAGGGTAAAATAAAATTACCAGTGATCACCTCATTATTCAAGAAATGAACAATTCTATAGCCAAATATCAAGAGACTATTGTGTTATTTCTAGTTGTTCTAGTTGTACTAGGTGTTATTGGGGGGAGGAATCAGCACTTACTGGAATCTTAGTCGAGCTGTGAGAGTACTGTCTGACAACCGAATAGAGGACGGAGGGAAATCCCGTGGATCTTCGGTTTTTTCTGGGGCTAAGGACAATTAAGCAAAATGCAGCTGTGAGTCCCCTGGCCTTCACCTTTCAGGTCCCTGGATCTCCTGGCAATGAGCGGCCCTGACCAGGGCAATCATTCTTATCTTCTCTTCATTTCAAATTGTTTAGTTTTTATTTGAACGATCTCGATGTACGTACTTTTAGAGTCAATTCCAAAGATCTCGATGTTTGTACTTATATACATTATTCTGGATAAGTTGTGTAGTGATATGTTGTAATGTTAACTAAAGGGGAGAGGGATGGGAACAAAATGTAAAAACCCAAGAGGGTATACATGGAAAATAAACTATCAAGAGACCTCGATTATAGTTCAAACAAATTATGGAAAAGTCAGAGATGGTCTCCATGCTTTCGTCTAATATTACCCATCAACGATATAATTCAACAACTGTTGAATTGTTGAATTAATGGCATTACAATCAAATGTGACGATTCGCATCGGATTCTTCAATATTTAATCCAGAGGAAGTCACAAAGGAATCAATAAGCAAGAGAAATTTTTTATTTTAATATTTCGACCTCTATTTAAATTTATAATCCTCATCCCGTATCCCAATCATGTGATGGAATCAAACTTCCAAAACCACAACAATTGATAACAACAATATAATTAAATGTTTGAAAGGAAAAATGGGCACTGCTACCACAACATTCTCATCAAAACTCGTTGGTTACTCTGATCGCACCAGATCGCCATCTAGTGAAATATTTATTGAGCAAAAATCAATATTCAAACTAAATAATTCCGTATATATTTTCTGCTTCACATGCACAAAATAAAAGAAAAAAGTATCTAAAAAAATACCAGAGTATTCCAAAATGCATCCTTTCTATCACTATTTCCTATTAAGTTATTAAGAAAACAATAAAAGTTGGTGCATTGAAAATACCCGATTTCCAATGCACCAATTGATAAAAATAAGTGGGTCTCAACACCTCGAACAAATGAATCTGAATAATACAGAATGATGCTAAAAAACTCATCAATGATTTATAAAACAATATATTTTCATCATGGAATGAATAGAACAAATTGTTGGAGGTTATCTAACAGCTTTATATCAGGCCCAGATATATTAGCCAATATCATTTACCACCAGAGTCACGTGTCCATTGAATCTCCTACGATGTCTACCATCTCCTCCCCCCCCCCCCCCCCCCCCCCCCCCCCCCCCCCCCCCCCCCCCCCCCCCCCCCCCCCCCCCCCCCCCCCCCCCCCCCCCCNCCAATGAGATTATTCCAGGCCCGTATACATGTATGTTGTGTCTTACCTCAGTAGCTCTTGAAAAATCATCTCGAAAAACCTCAAAAAATTGTAAGTAAATGAAAAAATATTATTCAATCGAATTCCGGAAAAAAATGCGTCCAATAATCGAAATAATAAAGTGTAATTTGTGGTATGCGCACAGTGGTGGAAGTCAATTTCATATCATCGTGATTGTATTCAACGCGCAGACTCGCTCAAAATGGCGTATGCGCTGAAATGGGATATATAAGAGCCTTGTGAGTTTTGTTGTGGTAGAAATGGATAGAAGGCATCCTTGGTTTGTTAGTAACCGATCGATAAACGCGCTGCTACCCTGGCGCTCTTTATCCCACCACCCCTTAAAACTCTCCTACCAAAGGGGGGAACAACGTTGACTGTGTTTCATTACCTCTTGCTTGCGTAGAACACGAACAAAAATTTCCCATGGTGTCCATGGAGTCTCTTGTGCGGGTCGTTGTGGCGGGACGCCAAAATTATCACCTCAAATTTTATCGGTGAGGGGGCAAAATATCCCAGTGTCCCATCTCAATGACGAAAAATTTTGTTGGAATAAAATTTTTGTTGAGTGCTTGAGGGGTGGAAACTACATTTGAGGAGAAGGAATAGACGCAACTCGGTGTAATAATGAACATTACGTGGACGTACGTGTGAAGGGGCGTGGTGTAAGAACAATATTTTCTTATTAAATTTTCAAATTAAATTTTTTGAGGCTAATGTAAAATGGAATAAAAACGTGTTGGTCTGGTCGTCACTTGTACCCGTTGGGTTATGCCGCCTCGGCGACGACGGGCCATCTCCGCAGACGCAAGACCCCCCGTGTAGAGTCTATGACCACTCACGTACCACACAAGGTGCGTACGCAACTAAATGTCTACCACTGGGCCTGCTCCGATGACCCAAGGATCTACTGAGTAAACTCCAGGCACATGCGGCATCATCGTGGAGGGATTGTCTTGGGGGGATTTGTTATTCGTGGGAGATTTTTTAAATATTTTCCGTGAGCATTGGCCTGCGCTTTGGTGTCGATGAGCTCACATGGCGGGTTGACAAGCGCAAGAGAGCCAAGGTATTGCGCGAGTTGATGCGGGGTTGAATAGCTTGGAGTGTCATGAGGAATACCTCGTGGAGAGGATGACGGATTTGTTGTGTTTTTGTGGAAGACGTGGCTAGATGCTGAACAAGTCGGTTTGGCCTTTTTTTCTTCATATTCAGCAAAACATCTTCAAGATGTCTCAGGGAAGAGACTTAGAGATTGCCAGTTTGACAAATTATTATTATAGGATTGTTGGAAAAATATGTTGTCTTTTTGTTATGTAGAGTTGTATTCTTCGGTCATCTCCTGGGATCATATTTTTGCCAAACTAATAGAATATTCCTGTCTTGAAGAATAATTTAACATTCATTGGAAAAGGTTTCAGAGGGATATATTAGGATTTTGGGGAATTATTCATTGGAATACAACTGCTACATTTCAAACTGATTTTTTTCTTTTCTTCAATAATTTAATAGTGAATTAACAAATAAATATATACTCATCTTCCTTATATTTGAAGATAGTTTATCAAATTTCAACCAAACGATGATCTTCCGAAGGATTAAAGTCTCTAAAAGTTTCAAGAACTATATACAAATGGTATATTGATTTGACTAATTGCAGATTTTCAAGAACCAATGAGGCTTCATCCTCTATATGCAGCGTTCAAAGCCCAATTCCAATTATTCTCAAGCTCTAGGCCTATATTAGTTCCCCTCTCTTCAAAGAGTAAATTCGATACTTTTTGTCATGATGTTTCTTCGGATCTGACGTGCACATCACTTCCTCCTGATTCAATTCTGTCCCCCTATTCATCGTATCACCCCCAATTTCCTCCCTACTTCCACTGACGTCTTTTCGCTTTACTTCAGACATACTAGACGATCCCCCATCCCTATACCCCTCCTACTCCCATCTCTAAAGCTACATCTTCTGCGTTGAACTTCAACGTAAATATAACTACACATCAGTTCTACTTCACTGAATTTCGGAGAAAAAGAAGTATCGCAATTTGATGTATTGAGAAAAAAAATTTCCACAGGAAAAACAACCTTAAACAATTTTTGGACAAGTCCTTGATAAAAAAAAAACAACAAATATATATTTTTCCTCTTCGGAATGACGCGAATTGAATGAATCTCTAAGGTTTGGTATTTTAACTGAGAAAAATAAAAAATGATATGTATCCCCCAATGTCAACAATATAAAGTGGCCTCGTGGGGTTCTATCAGGCCCGACATATGCTAGGGTAGCACAAGGCAAAGGGGTGGGGCAAGAGGGGTGTACAAAATATGACTCAGTGAAACCATATCGTGATGGATTGCCATTACTCGGTCTTTTAATCAATCTTCATTTCTAACTATCGATTTTAGACTTTCATCGAAATTTCAATAAAAAGTCATTCATTTTTCAAGATAATTATATTGGGTGGTAAAAATAATTTCGGACTAATTACATTTAAATTGTTCAAATTTCAGCTAATTTTTCTCAGAAAAATGTTTTATGGGATATGGAAATTATTCGATCTACTACCAAGTCTAGTCTGATCGCTAAAATTTTTATATTTTACTCAATTCGTCTCAACCACTGGTTTTTCTTGAATATCCATTGATCAATTGCTCAATTATTTCTTGATACTTTGATAAAGAATTTCGCTTCATCTTATCCTAATTACAATAGAAACCAAATTAAATCACCTAACTCGGCGAACTTTTTTTTCATCTTGCAGAGGGAGGGAATGTAGAGTCATTAAACGATTGAATCTCGTTGAAAGAATTCTTGGGTGAACTTGCAGTAAAATATCAAATACGAAACTGGATACACAGGAGAGCGACAAAATTGAGGAGGACGTGAAAATGGTGTCCTTACCCAGCACAGAATCTGGGAATATGGACAGAATGGATCGTTTATCCGATGATGATGATGATGAGCCAAGTAGTGGATCTGAGACATATGAAGAAGGTGATCTACTGTCAGCTGCCATGGATGATGACGTGACGGCCCAGCTCGCCGCTGCAGGTTGGCAAATCAAATGCGCTAATGGTGATTTCCCATTTTTTTGCTTTTTCACCTTTTTTTTCTCAATTTTTCCGTTCAATTTCCTCTGTCTCTAATCATTTCCTGTTATTTCAATTGTTCTGCAATCCTAGAGACTCAACTCACTGATACAGAAATTGAAATTTCGGTAATAAGATGAGAATGAGAATTTTTTAAATCTTATTTTGCTGGGGTTTAATTTTTTTGTCCCAATATGACATCGCGAGCAGTAAGTACGAAACCAAAAAAATGTGAATTGATTTTTGTCGTTATTCGTCATGTAACAATTTTATTAGCCAATATGCAGAACGTTTAGGATTGCAACTTTATAATTTGTGTGTGTTTTTTTCCTAATAACTTAATTCTTAGATTTTCTTGCTGTTCTGTTTACTTTATTTATTGGTTATTTATTTAGAGTGTGAATCCGTTCACCTTTTTTATTTTTATTAATTTTTTAAATTCAATTTAATTAGCAAGCTTTGGTGAAATCTTGATTATTTAAGTTTTAGTATTAAAAAACACAATTATTGTTTTGTAACACTTTTAGTGTTTCCCATGTTTCATTTACTTCCTCATGTATTGAATAATCTGAGAGTACGTTTGTGTTACCTAATTCATTATTATAGATTTATTTAGAGACTACTCTTGGGTTTATGCACGTCAGCATCAATGTTGCTTTGCCTCATGTTCCATGATTTTTCAGTTTTTGATTGCTATGTAAGCGAGGATTTTTATTTCTACTAATATGGTTCGTTGATCACGTTTAGGACCAGTTGGGGTGGCGGCAGCTGCGGCAATTGTCTCAGCGAAGAAGCGAAAACGACCACACAGTTTCGAGACGAATCCCAGTATCAGGAAGAGACAACAGAATAGACTTTTGAGAAAACTCAGGGTAGGTTTGAGTGATTTATTATTGAATTATTTTAATTAATAGGGGAGAGTGGGGCAAAATGAAAATTTCTCAGTAATTTTCCATGCTATTGAATGGAAAATTATTATTCTCATCAGTACTCGCAAGAATAAAAAAAAGTTGACAAAAAAAAAAATTTAACGAAAGAAATTTTTTTTTGCTTGAATTGCGTCAAAGAGCCGTTTTTTTGACTGTTTCATTTTGCCCCACTCTCCCCTATCAATCGTTATGCGAATGATATTTCGAGAAGTAATAATTAATTAACTAATCACATTATTGTTCAAAATACATATTTTCCCCGATTAAATAAATATTTGATTCTATTATTACAGCAAACGATAGATGAATTTGCTACAAGAGTTGGCCAGCAAGCAGTAGTATTAGTAGCAACACCAGGAAAACCAAATAGTAGTTACAAAGTGTTTGGAGCAAAACCACTGGAGGACGTAGTTAAAAATTTAAAAACAATGATAATGGAGGAGCTTGAAAGTGCTCTTGCACAGCAAGCGCCACCACCCGTTCAGGATGATCCGTCACTCTACGAACTACCGCCACTCATCATTGATGGTATACCAACCCCCGTTGAGAAGATGACGCAAGCACAGCTTAGAGCATTTATCCCGTTGATGCTGAAGTATTCGACGGGTCGAGGGAAACCTGGCTGGGGTCGTGAAAGCACACGGCCGCCGTGGTGGCCAAAAGAATTACCGTGGGCCAATGTACGAATGGACGCACGTTCTGAAGACGAAAAACAAAAGGTTTTTATTCTCTTTCTCTTTCCACCAATGGATTACTCAAATTCAAATGGAATTGTCCATCAAAATTTTCCCAATTTTTTGGTTTACTATTTCCAATTAATTTCTTCAAAATGAACAACGAAAACCATTGACATATTACGAATTAATTTTTGCTTCAACTAAATGATAATTCCTTTTCTTTTAGATTTCATGGACACACGCACTGAGACAAATAGTCATAAATTGTTACAAATTTCATGGAAGAGAAGATTTACTACCAGCATTCAGTGAAGACGATGACAAGTCAAATGTTCTGATACAGCATCCAACACCTCACTCATCACACACGTCCTCGAATCAGGCTCAAAGTGGCCAGTCACAGCAACAGACGGTGGGAGTCGTTCGTCTAAGCACAACAGGCTCATCTAAGGGAAACTCATCGCCACCGCAAATCATTGCTGCATCGCCTACGACTCTTGCCACTGCCACTCAGGTAGTGGTTGGTGAAGAGAGCTCTAGCATGCCCAAAATTATTATTTCATTCGAAATTTCATTTTCCTCATCAATCTGACATTTAAAATTAAAGCAAGTTTTCGACCGTTCATTTTCAATTGTTGGACGTGATTTTGGGCCATATTTCGGTTAGCAGCAGTCAAAATGATCACAAAAATTTACTTAAAAAATTGCACGACGCTTCGAACGCTCAACATGCACCTGAGGAGTAACGCCTTGAGCATTCGAAACGTCGTGCAATTTGTTAAGTAAATTTTTGTGATCATTTTGACTGCTACTGACCGAAATATGGCCCAAAACTACTTCCAACAATCTGACATTTAGTTTCTTACTTTATTAACTTCCTGACCCTAAGGGAGGAAGTTATTACTCTTTTTCGCGTTTGGTGTTTAGTTTCCCTCATTTGATTTATATTTTTTTCAATGCAATTTTTGTATCAAAGGAAATAATTTCTGTCGAATGTCCAATTCATGTTTAAGTTTCAAAAATTTCAATATTAAACTTTCCAATTTACGATATCTTATGAATTCTTAAAGAATTTTTTGAAAGGATCTCCTAAACAGACGGATTTCGAAAAATCCATGAAGTTACATTTTTTGTCCAAAATTTTATGATAATCAAAATCTCTCGATTCTTACGGAAGTCATTAGCTTTTAAGATGCTTACAAACAATTCAGTAATAATGTGGTTCGAACAGGATGTTCTTAATTTCTGTCGAAGACCATTTTTTAAGGGTAAAAGTGATAACGATTTGTTTTGTGCCCCGAATGAAACCTACATAATTATAATTATCAAAAGTTGAAATACCGGCGGCGGTGGCTGTATGGTTAGAGTGTGGGATTGGCAGGCGGGAGACCCGGGTTCGATTTCTGGCTGGGGGGGGCCAAAATTTGTGACACTCTAAATCTCACGGGTTCATTGTCGAGCGGGAGTCTCGCAAGAGACGACTACGTGGACAGGTTTTTCCCTCAAATGAGGTTTTCCCTTGTCCTTCGGTGAATGCGGTACAGGGGGTTG